TGCGCGCGCGCTCGCGCGTGCAGCATGATTTAATGTGTGTTTTGTGCGTGTGAGTGTAAGAGAGAGAGAGAGAGAATGAGAGGTATTAGAGTTGGTGGTTGGGGTGGGGTCCATTGGAGTTTGACCAAAATACCCTTAATAAGTGGTCAAATCTATATATTTAACCACAATATGATCACTTAATTACGATTTGTCACAAGCATGTTTGATTGATGTTAATAAAGTTTGACTTGATCATGACTATTTGTTTCATGGATGCTCTTTCTTACATGATCTCTTATATGATCCCTTCTCTATTGTATCTATTGTAGGTATGTATAGTATTGTTTGTGTTTTGTTTTTTGGTAACCCCTTTGTTTGAAATGTACTCTTTAATATTAAAGTACTTTGTGTCCTATGTGGATTATATTTGTATGTTAGGTCGTTTCGTCTTGTGTGTAATTCCAAGTGGATATGTAATGTATCCAAAAAGTATTATAATATTATAGGAAAAAAATAAATCGTAACACCACTGAAAAATTTTCTTTCCCCACTCATTGTTTCGAAAAAGTTAAGCACTTCGATATGTTTAGCATCAAATTCGGTGATGATCGATTGTTAAATATGGCATCTGACAGCTAATATTAGAACATTTCAGTTTGTACATAGGATGATGATTCTATTATAGCTTATGGCATCACAGGTCCGATGTATGGAAAATGGCCAGCATTAAATCCAGTACTTGGGTGTGGAAATTCTTCATCGTCGGGACATACACCACAACCAAGTCTTCTTTTGTGGACTGCAGAAATACAAATACAAAAAAATTGTGAATTCTAAGATAAAAACGTTCAAATTGGAACATATAATAATTCAACTGCAACGTTTTTCTAAGGCGAGAGAGCCTGTATCAAGCCACAACGTATACACCTTGAGAACCATTTAAATTGTAACGTTACTTACTGCCCTAACTCTAGTATCAAGTTTAGGATAACTCCACAAATTCAATTTATCTCAAGGTAAGAGATGATCTTGCAACAAGAAAACATTCATTATAGAAAGCATATCCCCACAATAGGCAGTTCCTTAGCGGCATTTGCCCCTATCTACAGAAAGTCATCGGCTCATCAAACAAGGTACAAAGATACACACAAATACTCATGTTGTGAGTTCATGGACAAATTACAGCACATTAACCAACAACACCCGATAGGTAAGCAAATATGTATGATCCATATATTCATAACGCGATGAATGCAACATATATTATGAATTAAAAAGCATAAAAGGACGTTAGGAGCATTACCAGGATCATCATCAGGTTTAATGACAAAACAATGAGTGGGATGAAGCTTCACACCACAGTCAAAAATCTCAGCGAAAAACAATTGCGGGGACAATTCGGCACAATCAACATTTCTGGGCACAGCCTTAAAGAAGATGTGAAGATATATTCCTGGCTCTAAGCTTGAAACAGGTGGGATGATTTCACCATTTTGTTTCACCATTTGCAGAAGGTGAAACTCAATGCCCTAGACCAGAGGAGAAAGTAAATAAATAACTAGAGCACATGAGTAGATAGAGATAACTTAAACTTATTAAATAAAAAAAAATGAGACAACCTGTTCCTTGTGATAATGCATTAAAGCAACATCTGCCAGACAAGACCAAGGATGGCTAGTGAACAGAGAAGAATGATAATGTTATAATCATGGTAAAAACAAAATAAAAAAAAAAAATGGCAAAAGCGAATCTGCGATAGCCAAGCCAATCAGCAGAGGGTGAGGGAACTATAATGGAAATGACAATGACATACAATGTTACTTCAGAAGACATAGGGTTTGGCTTTCCTTCCTTCATGAGATATTTTAGGTGTTCGATTTGCCTTTTCCTGCTCCAGATAGCAAATTAAAAGCATACATGCTCCCAGCAAATAATAATGTGCGTCAAATAAAAAATATTGACTCACACACACACACACACGCACACACACACACATACACACACACACACACAGAGAGAGAGAGAGAGAGAGAGAGAGAGAGAGAGAGAGAGAGAGAGAGAGAGAGCTTATGTATATTGTTCTCAATCATGCCAATCACATAAGGAACACTTTCTAGATGCCAAATATATCAAAAAAAAAAAAAAAATCAGGATCCTAAAGATAATGTGACTTATTCAGAGAGACCAGAACAATGCATTTCTGGAATGTCATTGATTCATAACTACTGCAAGAAGGCCGGCCTTTTCGACAAATACAAAATCATCAAATAATAATACAGAAACAGAATATAATAATGAAAAACACCACTATACTTACATATTATCCAATATAAGATGAAAATTTTTAAAGGTACAAAAGCATTTCCTGTCATAGAATAATGAACCACAATGAAAAATAATGAACATTTACCTTGAGATCTCTAATGCATCTTCCAGTACGATTCCAATTCCTTCATGAGAGCATTGCTGCTCTGGTCTGATTTTCCTTCTCCTGTTTCAATTGGGAAATAACATCATCACTTAGAAAACAACACCATCAAAAAGAGTAAATCCCTAGCCATAAGCACAAAGATTGTGATACTGAGCCTTCGTTTTGGCTCTTGTAGCCTTGTGATAGAAAAATAAAACTCCAAAAGAATATGAGGCAGAATAAAACAAATTACCTTGAGATTTTGCAATTAGCCATCTCTTTGTACCCTTCAGAGCGTCTTAGTTTCGTTTTCATTTTCCCTTCCCTTTTTAAAAAGGAAAATATTAAATCACCGATGAAAATAATACAGATAATAATGAAAAGTACATTGAATATATACATTTGTGCATGTATGGGTGTGCTTTCCTTTTTTTTGGGTGGGTGAGTGTGCATGAGAGAACGCGCATGCATATGTGTGGGTGTGGGTGTGGGTGTGTGTGAGGGAGGGAGAGAGAGAGAGAGAGAGAAAGAGAGAGAGAGAGAGAGAGAGAGAGAGAGAATCCACTCATCATATAGACTATGATCCACTTGTGTTCTGAATACAGACATCTTATTCACAACAGTATACCATTCACATATGAATTATATCCAAATGGACGAATAGATTGTCATAAACATGCTTTTCTTCAATAGGCCATAACCCCGACTACACTTCCTTTCTCAGAAGGATACTTCAAGCTGGAAAATGGTTAAGAATCTATAATTACACTAAGGAGAAATGCAGAACTACTAAGGCTGTCATTGGATATGTTTTCATTTGAAAAAAAAAAAAAAAAATACTCTAGAGAAAAAATCCGCTTTCCCATTATCCAGCTTACCCTAACATTTTAATTTTAGTAGTTCTCACTAAACTAGAATCAGTTTTCTTATCACATTACATAATTTATATCAATGCATTAGAATCAAACAACATGCCGAAATGTTTGCTTATCCTTTGTAGTCACAAACATCCCCACATAAGCTTGTCATCACTCACATATTAGACTGTACGCACATATAACTAATAGTCATGCTGTGATCTATAACATTGAAGAGGTGGGTGATACTATGTTCATTTAATCCCACTTCATCTTACATTCAGATTGCTGCATCCATGCACCAAATGTAGGCATGTATACATTAAAAGTTCTAATACAGAATAAAACAAAAACTATCTCATTTGGTTATGAGGGAAACAAAACAAGAATACCATAATATAGACCCCATCTATGTAAGCCCTCCTATGAGCTACCTTCGTTTTATAACTCTCTGTGTGCAATAACTCGGGATTCAGAGTTCCTTGTTTTTAGTACCCTTTCTTATCACAGATTTTGGTTCCATTGACTAAAATCAACAAGTTTTCATACATGCTATGTAAAAAAGGTTAGTTAAGCAACAAAAAGATCCACTTTCAGCATAAGGTACCTGGATACACATGGAAGCATACAAGAAAATGCATGTCCAGCATTTTTTTCATAACTCAGGAAGATGGGGAATTCGTTAAGGGACCAGAAAATCAAAAATATTGGTGATTAGCTCCGATCAAATTAATCAAGACAAAAATGCCCTAGAAAAATTAAGTGCTAGGGAACACAAGGGTTGAGTGCAACAAGGGACTCCTCGAATCTCAGACTAAATAACCTCCAAATTTCATAATTGTAAATAATCAATACCGACCCTGAAGCTTTCCGCTCATGCTTCGCTCGCACTCCCTCGGAAGACGGTCGCTTCTCCAACCGGACTTTCTTTTTCCTAATTTCTCGCAGAAAGTTGAAATAAATTAAACAGCAACTAAACCCTAGCTTGTTAAACATGAATTGAAATAATTGCATACCTTCGTTCATGTCTTGTTGATGTTGCCGCGAGATCCGACTCAGATTTTGATGGGAATTTGAGTTTTCTTTTGCGATAGCGTCTGGACACCTCCATGTTCTCCATTTTCGCTTTCTACCGAGCTTCTCCTCTACTTTATGTTTGGTTCAATAATTACCTTGGAGGGATTTTATAGAAGTGTGAAGGAAAAATGTTAAACTTTATTTAGTTAGGAAAATAGAGGGGAAAAAATTATTGTGAAAATGATTGTATATTATAAAACTATTATTATAAAACTATTATTATAAAACTATTACATAGGGTGGGTTATTTTTTTAAAAAAAAATATATAAAAATATGTGGCAAAAAATAAAAAAAATAAAAAAAAAAATTGTGGAAAAAAATCAAACGAACGGATTCTGAAAATCCGTGTTTCTAATTAAAATTTTTAACCGAAACACGGATTTTTAGAATTCGTGTTTGTTTCACATTTTATTTATTTTTTTTTAAATGAAAGTCGAAACTGTCGGTGGATTTTAATAATAATACTGCAAAACGCGGATTACCAAAATCCGTGTTACTTTAAAAAAAAAAAAAACACGGATTATGAGAATACGTGTTTTGGTCGATATAAAAAGCTGCAAACTCCTCCCTCGACCACAGAATCATTCATCCATCCTAAATTTTTTTTTCTGTTCGATTTTTAAGGCCAATTTTAAGAAAAAAAAAACATTTCAACCAATCGTCGGGGAAGAGGTTAGTTGTTATTTTAATGTAATGTAGTATTATGTTTTTGGTGTTTATTAATGTTTAATTGAAGTATATTTGGTTAATTGAGTATTGTTTAGGAAATCTTGAATATTGGTTTAATAGTTGTGTTAAATGATTATAATTAGCTATTGTATGATGGGTTTTTGTTGTATGTTGAATATTTATCCGAATTGTTTACAAATTTGATGTTATTGTTGGATTATGTTGATTAATTAGGGTATTGGTAGTGATTAAGGTTTTTGTTGTATGTTGAATATTTATTCGAAATTTTTATGAATTTGATGTTATTGTTGGGTTATTGTTGGATTATTGTTAGATTATTGTTGGATTGTGGTGATTAGGGCATTTGCTATTGTTTTTTAGTTGGAATAAAAATATGATTTTTTTTTTGTGCAACAGGTTATAAATGGCGTCTATAGGTCCTTATTTTGTTAATGTGTACTGGAAAATTCCTCAAAGTGAGTTAGGAATTTTTCGAATTATTTGGCTCGTCCAGATTGTTCATTTATTATTAATGAGAGAATATCATATGAACAATTGGTAGATATAATTTACGAAAATAGTGGATTTCGTGATAGTTGGACAATTTCGAATATTACTTTCATGGTCCAACAACCGGATGGGTCGTTTATTCCCGTAAGACTGGATAATGATAGTGCGCTTGCGTGGATTTACTATTTTCCTCGTATGTCTGTTGTGTTTTTGTATATTGTGTTGGAAGAAAACACACAGGTTACACAGGTTGAGGATCCTACCCCATCATATGGTTACGGGGGAGTGTTTGGTGATCAGGGTAAATGGACTACGCATGCCGGTAATTTTGGTGAAGGGATGAGTAATTTCGGCGAAGGGACGAGCTTTACCATGAGAGGACCGGACATTGAGGAAGAAATTATTGGAGATGAAGATTTCAGTCCCGGTGAAGACGATTTCACTGATGAGACATCGGAAACCGAATCGGACAGATCAATTAATGAGGAAAGCGAACAAGAATTCATTGAAGAACACCTCTTTCCAAATGAAGGCCTCCACTCATATCGCGAGATGGGTGAGTGGGACGCGTCGTGTGTAGACAGGGACGAGTATGCCTTGCCACTTTGGGATGGGCATGTCGAGACTATTCGTTTGGGTACATTTTTTCGTACCAAGAAAGAAGCACAGACTGGTGTTATGGCCTGGAACGTTGAGAATCTTAAGGCTGTCCGGACAAAAGATTCGAACAAAAGGTCGTTCAATGTTGTGTGTAGATCGGCTGAAGTTCCACCATGTATATGGAAGGCTCGGGTGAGTCTTAACACACGGGTTCACGACATGTGGGAGGTAATGGAATGGACCGATAGCCACACTTGCATGCAGGTGTTCGAGAGAAATGACCATAAGAATGTGACCGCCACCATGATCTCAAATCTTCTGTTGGCTAAGATTCAGAAGCAGGTGACCTACAGTGTGGAAATGGTGCAGGCCGACGTAAAAAGCGCCTGGAGCGTCAATGTCAGCTATAAGAAGGCGTGGCACGGGATAAAAAAAAGTCATCGATCGTGTGTATGGCACATGGGAATCGAATTTTGCACAACTCCCCTAGTAAGTGTCGAAATTAATTATTAATGTATTTCCTTGTTGGTTGTGACAATATTTTATTATTTATTTATTTATGGTTACCTTTTATAATTTGTAGGTTTTTCGCCGCCCTTCAAATGGCGAATCACGGTACAGTTGTTGAGTGGGAATCGCAGGGTGGGGAATTGGCGCATCATTCTCGAGACAGAGAATTCAGATTTGTCTTCTGGGCGTTCGGCCCCGCCATTCAAACATTCCTTCCTTGCCCGCCGATTATTAGCATCGACGGCACTCACCTGCGAGGTTCGTAGCAAAATATTTTTTTATTTCATTTGTTGATTTACAATAGTGTCTGATAAACAAAAAACATATGTCCAACTGAGCAGGTTCATACAAGGGGAAGTTGTTTGTTGCCATTGCACAGACAGCGAATAAGTGTTTATTGCCAGTCGCGTATGCGATTGTAGACGAAGAAAGCAATCCTAACACATCTGCGTAATCATGTCGTTCGCGACAAACCGATATGTCTTCTTTCTGACAGGGACAACGGCATATTGAGTGTCGTTGAATTACTGGAGGCTTGGCACGAACCCCATGCATTTCATCGGATATGCCTTCGACACCTCCGGAGCAACGTGCTTTCAAGGTATCGGAATAAGAAAGTCCGAGTTTTGTGCTGGAGGTTGGGTTCATTGTGTTCTCGTCGGAAATTTGAGCAGGCTCGACAACAACTTCAGGAATGTCACCCGGAAGCATACAATTACCTTTTCCGAATTTCTTTGGAAAAGTGGACCATGTACAAAGATAACAGGCGTCGATGGGGCACTCTGACAACCAATATGTCAGAAAGTTACAACAATGTCCTCAAAGGTGTCAGGTTCCTGCCC